ACCCTTGGGTATAATGAAAATCTGTGATTGGAAATATGGAGGAACCATGGAGAAGTGGTTGCCCAGCTGCTGCCTCAGTAAGCAACGCCCTCGCCCCATGAAATGCAGTTTAGTAAAGGCCAAGTCTTACTGTAAATTCAGAGCCTGTGACCATATTTTCTACAGTACTGCAAACAACCTGAAATGTATATAAAATTCGGCATGTATGTACATTTTTAAAGAAACAGGGTCCTTGTCTTTGAATATTTTTTCAAAGGGCTCCACGACCCAAAAGGGTTAACAACCGCTGTATTCCATGAGGCGCCACCTGCACTTTTCAAGTATCTGCCCAGGACACTGTAGTCCCCGTTTTTGTCCCTGGCCGATCCAAAAACTATTCTTTCTGATGTGCTCTGGTCTCCTGGATGTGGCTGGCTGACCAGCCTCTGCCTTCCAGGAACACGGGCAAGCAGTGAATGTATGGCTGGAACCAGCGTTTGATGTGAGCGTTGGAGCCACGCGGACATAAAGCAGAGAAATCCAGTCTGAAGAGCAAGGTGATGGGAGGCGCAAAGCTGAGTGCAGAACGGGGGGCCACTTTGGTCCTTCTCCCCCAGTGCTGGTTTTGTCCTTATCTGAGTGTGACACCATCTGTACAGTTCTCGTGTCATTTTCTTGTTTCTACTCAAGTTAGCTTTAGTTAGTTCCTACAACACAGCTCCCATGACCAGTGCATCTCTTCTAATCTCTGGTCACTGGCCCCTGTGCTCAGATCTCCAGGCCTATCAAACAAGTGCAGATCGGTGACTCTGCTCACTCCATGGCCGTCAGGGTCGAGAGGGAGTAGACTGTGGGAGCAGGTGCCAGTGCTGCCAGGACCAGGAAACATTCAGGGGGCTAGCCTCCCTCCTTTCAAAACAGCCTGTGAGACCAGCCTCCCTTCCTCCCTCCAGACCTTGAGGAAAACTTGCAGCCTCTGCAAGGTCTAGCGAGCATGAGGGCTCTGGCCCAGCCCCTTGTGAGACCTGATGGGAGCTGTGTGCTCAGTCCAGGGTGAGTCCTGCAGGCCCCACTGACCCCTCCCTGGTCCTTTAAGAAAGAATTCTGAGCAAACACAGGTCCTGTGGAGTCCTGTGGGCATCGGCCCTCCCTCCAAGGAGGCCACTGCAGCCCAGACGTCCAGACCCTTCTGAGACCCCTGCGCCCTGGGCCCCTCCTCACGTGCCCTTGCCCACCTCACATCCCAAGGCGAGAGGAAACAGACACGAGAGGCCACAGTGTACAGCCTGTCCTTTATAGATGTCTGCCTGTCTTGTCCGTCCATCTGTCTGTGTGTATATGTGTATATCTTTACAGAAGGGGAAAGGGAGACTCTCATGTAAAAATCCAAAATACAGGGGCCGGCCCCGTGGCTGAGTGGTTAAGTTCCTGCGCTCTGCTTCAGCGGCCCAGGGTTTCGCAGGTTTGGATCCTGGGCGTGGACATGGCATCGCTCATGAAGCCATGCTGAGGCGGCATCCCACATGCCACAACTAGAAGAACCCACAACTAAAAGTACACAACTATGTACCGGGGGGCTTTGGAGAGAAAAATAAAATCTTTAAGAAAAAAAAATCCAAAATACAATTCTGACTATGAACACCTGCAATACTGGTCCATCCAAGTGGGGCAGGAGTCTAACTAAGAAAGCAGGTGTGGTGGTGCCAGAGCTTGCCCTGAGGGCATGGGCAGGGTCTCCTGCTGCCCCCTCTTCAGGAAACGTGCAGTGCTTGGCAAAGGCAGGCGTGGGCACGAGCTGGGCATGGGTGGAGAGTGTGGCCTTCAATCTGCTCTAACCCTCCTCTAGCTCTTACTTTAAATTTCTTGATGTGTTTGAGACTCGGTTTTCTTATCTATAAAATGGCCATGTGTCACCTCTTTGCATAACTGTGATAGAGCAGAACTGATATACGAGAAGGCTTAGCCTGATGCTGCACATAAGGACTGAAGAAGGACAGTGGTGCTCCCATCTGGTGGCCGTTTCTGTAGCGCTCCAGGTTCAGGGATGCCCTGCAGTGTGCTTCACAGCCTGCTGCCCCGGTGCGGTAACATGGGCTGCTCCTTCTGCATTGCAGGTCAACTTCCAAATCCTCAAAGGTGGCACCCAGAGGGCCTGCCAGGTCCTGCCGGCTCTCTGAGAATGAGCTCGGCAGGCTTGCCGGGCCATGCCCGCCTCTCAGAGCCTGGGGAGCAGGAGTGGCCCAGCCTGTCATGGGAGCTCTGGAAATGGTCTGTGACCAGCTCTGAGTGCCCAGGTGTGACCAGGCCAATCCCTCAGTGGTCTCACAGGAAGTCAGCAACCTAACTGCAGGGACTGCTCTGTCCCTGACTCTCTCCCCAGAGACCCAGCTGCTCCAGAGCAACCCTCTGACCACTGGCACTCACACGGGCCACCTGGGACAGGCGCTGGCCTTGGTGATCTCCAGTTCCTAGGTCTCTGGGATTTCCCACAGTCCCCACACAACCCTGTTGGGGTCATTCCTGTTCCCAAAGAGAAGAGAACTGCATTCATCAGGCTGGGACTACGGTGAGGCCAGAGAGGTGCTGGGGCCAAAATTTAAGGAGGTCCTCACTCTAAGGGCCTTCAAGCACAGGCAGGTTTAAAAAGAAGTGCCTCCTTAACCTATGCCCCTGAGCACCTCCCAGCCTCACCCTGGCCCTGATCCCTGGGCTAGGCAGGCCTAACTCATGGAGTGTCCCAGCGGGCACAGGAGGCGGGGGAACAGCACCAACTGCAGGTCAGGAGAGCTGCGGTGCATCCCCAGGCCACATTCATGGCCACCAAATTCCCTCCCGAGAGCAGTGGGAGCTGCAGTGTCCTGCAGGACGTGTCTGGGGAACAGCTGCATCTCTACAAGCCTTTGCTTATTCAGCCAAAGCACTATACCGGGTGCATCTTTAACTGGAGAAGGGTTTGGAGGGTGGGAAAACCGACATGACTCTCTGGGGCAGTGACCTGTTGTTCTCTCCCTCAGACTGGGCAGTGCAAGCACAACACTGTCCAACCCTGGCCCTACTGGCCAGAGTTTCTGGGGCTGGAAGCGCTCTCCCCATTCAGCCTTGAGAGTCAGCCACCGCACCTCTGATTTCCCCTCGTCCCCTGGGTCAAAGAGGGGTTCTCTTGGCAGAACGGCAGATGAGAAAATTCCGGCACCAAGAGCACAGACAATGGTCTTTCAAGGCCTCTGAGAGCTGGACTCTGGATCACGAGTCTGCACAAGTGCCTGCGTGGGCATCCTTGAGGCCACAGGCACAGGATCATCTTTCTCGGGGCCGGGCAGCTCTGTAGCCCCCGCCCAGCTAGAAAAGGGCATCCTTCCACTGCTGAGCTAATGTTTCTGCACTCATTGTCAGCGCCACCCTCACCGCTGTGTCCTGCACTAACCACACCCTGCTCAACCCATGTACACACCAGGTAGGGTCAAACACTTGTTTTCCAGCCAGCTCCCCGTCCCCCCAGGGGGAGCACACCAAGAGGGCTCACAAATAGTGCAGCCACTGTGCGTGGAGGCTGTCACAGGCCTGATAGTGTCTGACTTCCCTGCTCAAAGGTCTTGCCCAGAACACAGGCTGTGGTTCCTGGAGACCACACTGGTGGCATTTCACCCACACGCCTCACAATCTTTCAGCAGAATCAGCAAGAAGATTAGGGGGCAGGACGGATCAACCTAGTAGGATTAAGCTCGGAATATCCCAGAGGATCTCTGATGCCCCTCCCTGAACTGGGTAAGAGTGTTTCCCGCGAGTTAAGGGGAACGAAAAAGAGAAAGGAAGGATAAACGAAGATGGAAACATGAGGTCATTTCCTTCAGTCAGGAAGGTTCGAGGTCTAGAACAAGGGGATGGTGCTAGCACAACAGCCTGCAGGAAGGCACACTGGCCCTCTTCAGGACTTGTGCCCACCATTAAAGAGACAAGCACTGGGGAATGGAGGATGCACACGTGGAGATGTCACCGGGAACAACACGAAGTATCTCCAACAAGAAGGCTGTATGATCTCTAGACTCTTTATTCCCAAATGCCCTTTAGGCAGAGCAGAGCCTCAGCATGAGAGCATGAGAGTCTCATTCTCAAGAATGAGAGAACCTGGCCTACAACTCAGGGCTAGCTTCAGCCTGGACTTCTCTTTGTTCCTACCAGCTTAAGAGCGTGAAAAAGAAGCACTTCGCAGAGTCTGAGAAAGCCGGTGTCTTGGCCCTCAGGAGGTCAAGCACGTTTGGAGGTATCCAGAGGCTCTGCACGACCAGGACAGCCTTTCTTCAGGCCACACATTTGCCTGCCCTGGGCTAGGGCTCTGGTCTTCCTCGGACACGAAGTCACAGCGAGGATGTGAACAGCAGATTCTGATCTCCATCTCCAGACACAGTCTCTGATACACCTCTGCAAACCGGAGCTGTCCGGTCTTGCAGGGTCAGACCATGTAAACAAGCCTGCTGCCTGGCAACTAGAGACAGGGACGTGAATAAAGACGCCCTGGGAGGAATGAAAAACAAAGCCGCTCTTGGGAAACCCAGCTCTGGTATTTGGACACGGGTTCGAGGTCAGCCTGAACTTCATGACGTTTTACTTTGCGTTTTCGTTCCCTTTCCTTTTACACTAGAGCAACGCCCTCCGATTCATGCGCCAAGTCCTGATTTTCCCCGAATAGGCGCCGACCACACCACCCTGGTAACTCATTTGAGAAGACACAGAGGGCCACCTGGGCACAATGTTTGCCAGCGAAACTGAGCGCTGTTCTGAGCACAGGCACGCTTCCGCAGTTGTCCAGCGGTTAGCAAAAGACCAAAGAAGGAAAGGCCCTTCCTGCTCGCCCAGGGAAACGGCGTGGGCAGGAGCCGAGAAACGGGCCTCGGACGCTTCCCCTCCGAACCCTCCCTCTGGGATCCCTGCCCCCACTCTCGGGGTGGCGAGGCGGGGGCCCGGTCCTGCTCCTCCCAGGGACGCGCCACAGCTTCCCGGCCTGCCCCGCCCCGACCCCTCACCGGGCTCCAGCAGATAAGCGCGTCGGTGTCCGGGTCGCTCACGAGGGTCCACAGCTTGGTCAGGAAGGCCGGGACGTTGCTGGGCCCCGCCGCGCCGGGGCCCACGGGCAGATCCATATCGGCAAGGCGGGGAGAGGCGGAGGTAGCGACCGTGACGAGGGGCCGAGGGCCGGGCTAGCACCGCCGCCGCGCCTGCCGCCCAGGCTGCGCCGCCGCCGCCCGCTGCGCACACACGGCCCCAGGGCCTAGCATGGCCGCCGCCATCTTGCGACGGGCGCGGTCCCGCCGGCGCCGCCCGCCCGCGTCCCCCCGGCGCGCGCACGCTGGCTCGGCCCCGCCCCGCCCCCGGCCCCGCCCCCGCGCCTGCTGGCTCCGCCCCGGCCCACCAATCAGACCGGGCGGGGTAGGCAGGCCGCGCCCCCTGACCCCACGGGCCCCGCCCCCAGGCCCAAGCGGCCGGGTCGCTGCCGGAAGTGGCGAAGCGGGTCGGGACTGGCCGGGGAGCATGGCGGGCGCACGGGGCGCAGGGTGTGCTACGGCGGCGACGAGGGCGCGGCCCGGGAAGCGGCCGCCCGAGCCGGAGCCCGTGCCGGAGCCAGAGGAGGTGACAGCGGGCTGCGCGGAGCGGGAGCGGGAGCAGGGCGGCGGGGCGCGGGCGGCGGGGCGCGGGCCGCACGTGGAGGCTCCTCGGCCCTCCGGCCCACGGCGAACCCTCCCAGCGTGCGGCGGGTCTGGGAATGCGAGGAAGAAGGGGTCGCCTGCCCTCTGCTGGAAGTGGCCTTGTGAGGGGAGTCCTGGGCAGAGAGCACCCCCTGCTCAAGGGGCGGCTGAAGTGGGGGCGGGGCGGCTCTGTGGGTCGGAAGAAAAGTCTGCGCAGGAGAGGCATGGGAAGGAGAGCTGGCGTCCTGTGCAGCAGCCTCTCAGACCCTTTGAATTATACATTCTACTGTTAAGATCTGAGCTTGCACCGCTGTTAAATACTTATATGTTTGTACACTGCTAGTATGTTAGATCCTCTGTCAAAATTAAAAAGGATATGGGAATAAGAAAGCGTGAATACAACCGAGTGCCTGCTGCATTGGACACATTGTTTTGGCTCTATTGCCGCTACTCCTGTCCAGCTGAACCCCGGTTTGGTTGTGGGGGTGTCATCAAATCTGGGTCGTAGACAGTCGTAGAAGGCATGTACAGTCGAGCCTCTCAGCCGACTCCACCTAGCTGTATTCTCAGGCTGCCCTTTTGCCTTGTGACCTGTCCTCGAGTGGTCCACTGCCAGCTGGCAGCTCTGGGCGCCAGGCTTGCCTACTTCCACCAGTGGGCTCTATACTCATCAGGAACACTTGCCACTGTCACTGTGTAGCTGACTAGATATTGGAGATAAGCAGCGTGAGTGAGTGTCTGTCAGAGTTGCTTCCATGAAAACTAAGTTGAGTGCTGTGGAATAACTGGTAAGTTCTGGCTGTCCAATTAGGTGAGAGACTTGTAAACTTTTGAGAAACAGTGAAATGTAGGATTCTGCACTCAAATGCTTTCTAAAGGTCTACAAGTTCTTGCTCCACTTTTAAAAGGCAATGACAGGGCCCACCCACTGTGCATTGTGTCCTGTAGAGTTAGGGATGAGATGGTGTCTGGACGGCAGAGCTCTGCTTGGTCCTACCCCAGGAGTGGCTGAACAGGTATATACATGTTTTTAAGTAAAGCTTGCATCATTTTTATCACTCCTGAGCCAACATTTACAACTTAGTGATCAACTGTCGGTCCCAATCTGGTAGGGTATGGAGGCTTCTATGTCAGATGGGAGAAACCCCTCAGGGATTCTGGTCCTCTGCTGGCCACAGTCCCTGCCTTGGTGCCCTTATAGCTCTGGGACCTTGAGTGCCAGGGTGGGGTGCAGAGGTTGGAGAGCCAGTGTTGCTAATGCAATGGAACTGGGCTCTAAGAAGGGGACATTGTCCTTGCAAAGTCCTTCCCTTGTGAGATGCTAGGAATTAAATGTCCCTTCCAAGGGCAGGCAACCATGTTGTCAGCAGAGGTGGACGGTGAGGAAGGCCTGGGTTGGGTGGATGGTTCTGGTGAAGGTGGAAGCTTGTGACCTGAGGGCTGTGGCCTTGGAGGCTGGCCACACAGACGCATGGGTCAGTGCCTGGTGCCTGGTGGGCGAGGCCAGTGGTTGGGCTGTGGGGTCTGGCTAGCATTAACACTGTGCTCCTTGCAGCTGTCTCTTCTTTGCGCCCCTGCCCTCAGCCTTGGTGATGGCAGAGATTCCGGCCTCTCTGACCGCGAGGAGAGTGTGTTCTCAGGCCTGGAAGATTCTGGCAGTGACAGTAGTGCAGACACCACTGCCGAGGAAGAGAATGGAGCCAGCGGTGATGAGAACCACAGTGGGATGGAGAAGACCACTGGGCAGCAGGTGCGGTGGGTGAGTGAGGAGCCTCCCAGTGGGCTCTCCCACTAGATGAAGGTGCCCCCCAGGGTCTCTGGGTGGGTGTCCCCACACTGCTTTCTCCAAGTTTCCTTGGGGACTCCAAGGCCCTCCTCTCTCCTCTGATGCGCCTGGGGGCACATTTGGGGCTGGGTAGACCTTGTTTGCAGCTGGAGTTCTTGGAGGTCTAGGGCACTGGTCTTCAACCACAGTTAGGTGCTCTGTTCACAGGAACTCTAAAAGTCCACACGCCTGGGCCTCTACCTCAGTGATTCTGATGTCACCTCTCCATGGGACTCAGCCCGCTTTGCTAGGTTCACTTGTAGGGTGGGTTTCCTAGGGCAAAGCTTGAGGTGGGCATTTGCCTGTGGGGGCCTGCCTGGGAGGGGCTCGAAGGACACACGTGAGGGGGTGAGCTGAGCAGGAGCTCCATTCCACCCCAGCTGTGCAGGAGCCCGAGTGGCCCCATGGGTGGAGGCTTTGGCATCATATCTGTTGCTGTGATGATGGGGAAGGGTGTACCCTGCTCTTAAGTGAGAAAAATGACAGGAATCTTTTTCTTTCTTTCTTTCTTTTTTTTTTTTTTTGGTGAAGAAGAGTGTCCCTGAGCTAACATCTGTGCTAGTCTTCCTCTATTTTGTACATGGGATGCCGCCACAGCATGGTTTGATGAGCAGTGTGTAGGTCTGCACTGGAGTCCAAACCCGTGAACCCCAGGCTGTCGAAGTAGAGCACGTGAACTTAACCGCTGCGCCACCGGGCCCGCCCGAGAGGAATCTTAATTTAACTGAAATAAGGCGTTTGTTTTTTAGGACGTTTCAGAAACAAGTTTATAACCACAGGTGTTTATACTTCTGATGGCCATGGTGTTCTGGAAGTTATGACCTTGGCTCGTATAGGAGTCTCCTCCTGTAATGGAAACCAAAAAGGCATGCTTGTTTGATCTGTTTCCTGGGAAGAAAAGATTTAAAATCAGACTTAAACCTTCCACTATTCAGGCTTTCCTTATAACACTGATGTGCACAGAGAGGAGGTGATGCATTAACTGCGTTGACCACGTTTTGTAGGATTACAGGCGACTGTTTCCCCCAATTTTTTTTTTTTTTAAGGAAGATTAGCCCTGAGCTAACTACTGCCAATCCTCCTCTTTTTGCTGAGGAAGACTGGCCCTGAGCCAATATCCATGCCCATCTTCCTCTACTTTATACATGGGATGCCTACCACAGCATGGCTCTTGCCAAGTGGTGCCACGTCTGCAAGCGGGATCCGAACCGGCACACCCTGGGCCGCTGAGAAGCGGAACGTGTGAACTTAACCTCTGTGCTACCAGGCCAGCCCCTCCGCCTGCCTTTTTAACTTTTTAAAATTACAAGATATACCCTCCTCCACAAAAAACCAAATCTTACATCAACACTATTGAATAAAGGGTGGAAGTTCCTATTCACTGCTTGATGCAGTTGGTGACCACAGGTAATAACAGATAATAGTTTAATAATCTTTCTGGATCTGTTTCCCCTTCTCTTTTTTTTTTTTTTTTTTTTAAGATTGTCCCTGAGCTAACATCTGTTGCCAATCTTCTTCTTCTTCTCCCCAAAGCTCCGTGGTACATAGTTGTATATTCTAGTTGTGGTGCTTCTGGCTGTGCTATGTGGGATGCCATCTCAGCATGGCCTGATGAGCGGTGCTAGGTCCACACTCAGGATGTGAAACCCTGGGCCACCAAAGCAGAGCGCTAGAACTTAACCCCTCGGCCGTGGGGCCGGCCCCTGCCTGTGTAGTCTTTCAAATAATTGGTGGTCTTAGCTGAGCTGCTTTGCAAGTGAAACTGATGTTTGCCTGGGGACTCCCTGAAGAGAAGGTGACATCTGTGGTGAGAAGACAGCCCTACTGTCTTGCCCTCCAGCTGCCTCCTTTCTGGGGCCTGGTTCTTATCAGGGCCGCTGCTGACCACCACGCCATGCAGGTTTCTGCTAACTTCTCTTCTGCTCTGTGCTCCCACTTGTCCCTTAGCCAGCTCCTGTTGCTGTTTCCTTCACATTCCTTTGACAAGATGTGTCCCCCATAACCTGTGTGAAGGCTTCCACCACTTCCTACCAAGATGGGTGGGCAGTTGCCCCCCTCCTTGACCACTCTGCTTCATGCGTCTGAAGGGCATGCTGCCACGGTGTCAGGCTGAACGCTTGTGTGATGTCAACGACACCTGTCCTGAGGCAGTGGCCAGCAGAGAGAGGTCCTAATTGTGGGTGTGGCCCCCCCCCCCCCCGGGCCTTTCCCCCTGTGGCAGGTGTGCTTGGCCCAGAAGCACTAATCAGGTGACAAAGGCAGCCGAGTCAGCTACACAGGAAGGAGGCAGTTGGTTTGTTTTGCTATTCTGGTAGTTGTGAGGCTGATAGGTCATTTTCAGGGAGCTGTGCCCCGTAAATCTGTGGATTCCGGCCTGTGCCACAGGCTGTCCCAGGCTGGGAACATCCTGCTGAAAGCATTCCGTAGATAAGGACCCAGCCAGATGGCCATTGGCATGTTCCATGGAGATGTCACTGGGCCTCTGCCTTCCTTTCCCACAGGGAGAGATGGCTGTGGGCCCAGCTGCAGAAGCCCTGCCTTCTTGCCTGCTCAGGTGCTCTGGTTGCCCTGGTGACATGGCCCCGTTCGTGGGAGCGGCCCTGTTCAGTCCAGGCCCCTCTTGGTCCTGCTGTGTGGCATGCACCTCCCTCTCACCTTTCGCTTCCTCTTGGGCCTTTGGTGTCAACTTAAAGATGTCCACCACTTTCTTTGTAAGGGGTGTTTGTGATTGAATGATGTAGCATCTAGGGGTGCTGGAGAGCACTTGGGAGCTCCTGAGGGACGTCCTGCCCTCCCCAGCCCTGTTCCTGGTTGAGGACAACCACTGTCTCTGGTCCTTG